CTCATCGATATGTTTGGTGAAAGAGATATATTTCTCCTTGGTTATAGGGAGCAAGTCAATTTTGCCATCCATTCTAGTAGCAATATCTGCTACAACAAAGTGAGCATCATATCCACTCAAGTTGTGGAACACCACCGGGATTGTATGAGTATCCTGATAGTTGACGTTGCATCCCTCACATGCAGCTCCGCGGAAGTTGTTCACCGGGATAAGATGATTGTGATCACGAACTTTCTTTTGTCCAGATTTAAATGACTGTTCGCAAATATGGCACTCCGTTGCTGCTTGAAATTCAAGCTCCTGCTGTGGAGTCATATGCATCTTGTAGGGACAAAGAAACACTGTAGATACATCTTCCGCAAGCTTATTCATCTCATCAGCAAACCATCGCATACTGTCCTCACCGCGGTAGCTGTTATAAAACGAAAGAGATTCGTCATATGAACATTTGAGGTAGTATCCTACAGCTGCTGGAATATGCTGTTGGTAGGCGGTCTTCTTCTCGCTAGGTTTCAGAACGCTCTCGAGATCTGCATATACGACAAAGGGGGCTTTTATTTTATTTTTAAAATTTTTAAACTTCAACATCTTTTTTTCCTCTGTAGGCATCTTGATGGCTGTATCATTCTTTTGTATGCAATCCTTAGTATGCTTATGTAATTTATCTTCAGAACGGTAAAAATGTAAACATCTATCGCAAATATACTTTTGCCTTTTTTCTTTGCTTAACTGCTTCGATACTAGCCGTGAAAGATTTTTTATCCAAACATAATGGAACTTGACCGATTGTTCGTAGCAGTCTTGCACTAAAAGCAGGTTCACATGTTTATCCCTCTTTTCCTTCGTTAGGTAGGTAGGCAACGTATTAAACTGGTCTTTTTTCTCCTGCTTCAGAATATACACGTTAATGGAGATGTTGTTTTGTTTTTCAAAGTTCGGAATTTGTCGCATAGTCATCGGAAACTGGATCCCTTTAAGCTTGAGCACGGAAGAGTAGTGAGGGTATTTGGATATTCTTTGGGGATCTTTATCAACAGGATACAACGCCGAAACCACCGCCCACGCAAAACAGGCATCATCATCATTCTTAACGTTAACGCATGACTTTTTTGATTGAATTTGTGAAGGTAGCTGAATATATGAAGAGCCAAGTTGAGGGGTGAATTTGTTAATATTAACCCCTAAATTGATAACAGCCTTAAGGACCCAACCGCTGTCACGGTCTTGGAACTCCGATAATTTGGTCATTATCGGTTTCTCAACATTCTCCTTAAACCACTCTTCTATATCAGTACCCCTATATATTCCCGCATTTGATGTTGTAAAGTACTTATACTCATTAAGCATCTTTTCACCTTGAGTAATCGCAAATTCCCCGCAAAAAATCGCATTTACTTTCACAGCCTCATCTTGCTTCAACGCGTTATGAATTCGGCTTTTGAAGATTGTCTTACAGTCCATTAAGAAATTGCCGGGGTCTTTATGTTTAAGATTAGTGATAACTCCAGTTCGTATTCTATTTCTAAACGCCGAACTGGAATCATCCCAATGAACGCGATGTTTTGCGGTTTCTTTTCTATTACTAAAAGCCGAAGTGGAGGTTCCTTTATTCGATGCTAAGCCATGAACCCTCTTTTGTTCTAATTTAAAATGTTTACGCATCGACTTAATATTACGTAAGCAAGCCTCAAGATGTTGTTTTTCACCTATAGACCAAGATCCGCGCATAGAATCCCTAATCCTACGTGAAGCTTTATCGCACTCTACTAGACCTTCCCTAACTGCTTTATCGCTATAATTAGTTCTAAGCACGCCTAAAATACCTGCAATATATTTCACTAAAACTGCAAACATCTTGTACGTCTAATAATAATAAGCTAAAAATAGCCTCGCCTAAATAATTGTTAGAAAAATGCTAAAAACTCGCCTAAATAATTACTGAAGCTAAAAATGCTAAATAATTGCTGATAATAAGCTAGAGAAATGCTAAACTCACCTACAATATATCGCTAAGAAAACAAACACACCTACAGATGGATCAGATTAAATCACAATGACTAAATGGGAAGAACCTGAATAATGTACCCCCTTTTATAGCATGTTGGTGATAGGCAGGAAACAGCGTCCGTTCATGTCAACAGGAAACTTACATCCGGTAAATTCTAATCAGCAGGAAACGTAAATGGCGGGAACAGGAAGCAGCATCCGGTCACGTCAACAGGAAGCAGCATCCGGTAAATTCTAATCAGCAGGAAACGTAAATGGCGGGAACAGGAAGCAACATCTGGTCATCGGCAGGAAGCAGCATCCGGTAAATTCTAATCAGCAGGAAACAGCGTCCGGGCACGTCAACAGGAAACTAACATCCGCTGTTGTAAACAGGATATCCTAATCAGCAGGATATGCTAATCAGCAGGAAACGTAAATGGCGGGAATAGGAAACAGCATCCGCTCTTCCAATCATCAAACCTTGTGTAGCTATTTTTAATGAGGTTTTCCTGTTTTTATCGCACTTGACGACTGAAACCCGTTCGAATGGGAAATTTGATAATAAAATGATCTCGATCTATAACTTTTAATTTTATTATACATACTGAAGCTTCGTCATTACATCATTAGCAATAATTGATGGATTGTAATGTAAGATTTCCTCTAAACACATTTTTCTGAAATATACTTCTATGCACAGCTGATTAATTAAGTATCTAGCATCTTCGTATACATCAGCGATAGGCGCGGTCTCCTTATTACTTCTTTTCAAGTCAACCATTTTATTGATAAATATCCGGTAAAAGGTAGCGAAGTTATAGGACCCTAGTTGTTGTAGTCTTGAGTTTATTGCATATTTCATGTTGAACAACTCCTCAATCTCGTTTCTATGCATGCAGCATGATTGATTAAATTGTCGAATATCGATGGTGGTTATAATTTTATCCGAATCATCGGTAAATTTCCAGTTATAAAGTAAGCCTAAAGTGTCACTTAATGGTTCATAGTAATCTTCATAGTTGACGTCTTCATAGATGAGGTCTTCAGCAGACCAACATTTTTCTGTTTTCTTTGATCGATATAGCTGTATTTCGGTATAGGGCTGCCATTTTAAAAGATTGTTCCAATCTTCAACAGTCAATATGACACCGCAACCCTCGCTCTTGCAAGAGAGGCGTAAAACAGGTTCCTGATGAAAACAAGTGCTATAACCTATTTCAATATCCTTACTATCACTGAGAACGTATCGTACAGCACCAATTAACGTTTCCTTTGTCGCTTGATAATATATTTCTGCTAATTCCTCTTCTAAATACCCGTATGATGTTGATGATGGCGATGTCGCAACATCAGACGATGATGTACAGGACCAGCAGTTACACATGTTATCACCTTCACTCTTGTAGTTAGACTAAATTATAGGAAAAACTTATAGATGGTATGAATCAATAGCGTAGTGGAGAGGGAAACAGCATGATGCGATTTAAGAACCTTAGCCTCCTTACCAGCAGGTTTATCCTCTAGGAATCAATCATCTTGCTAACTAATACAATGACCTTGTCTACCAGGTCCAACGGGTTTGCCAATTAGTCCAGGTGGTTTGTCATCAGCTTGTCAACAGGTTCAACGGGTTTGTTTATTCATATCGGTACCAAATCGGTTCAAAGCTGTTCAATAGCGGGTCAACATCGGTTCAGAGACGGTTCACAGCTGTCCAAAACCGGTTCAAAGCAGTTCGAAAGCGGTTCAGAAGCGGTTCAAAGCAGTTCGAAAGCGGTTCAGAGGCGGTTCAAAACCGGTTCAAAGTTCAAAGCAGTTCGAAAGCGGTTCAGAGGTGGTTCAAAGCAGTTCGAAAGCGGTTCAGAGGCGGTTCATAGCGGTCCCCAGCTGTCCAAAACCGATTCAAAGCAGTTCTAAAGCGGGTCAACATCGGTTCAGAGACGGTTCAAAGCAGTTCGAAAGCGGTTCAAAGCAGTTCGAAAGCGGTCCAACGGCTTTTTCAACTGATCCAAGGGCTCTACCTATCTGATCTAACGGCTTTGCCAACTGTTCCAGCGGGGTTTGCTAACTGACCTAAAGGAGGTGTGATCCTTTTAATTCCCATAGCTTGCTTTTCCGTAAAGGCATAAAGGGGTTCAGAACAGAGGACAGAAACCATTTGGTGTTGTGTTGTCGAGAAGAGCAGCCCTTCAACGATGTCTAAAGCGTGTAATTGGGGAAGACCTTGTAACTGTAGCGACTGTCGACCTGAGCTAAAGGAAAAATGTGAAATTTGCTGCGAGAGAGAAGGATACCGCGTTGGAAGTACTTTAAGAAAAGACAGAAAGGGGATAAAGTACTATGACTCTGAAACTTGTTGTCAACAATGCTATCAGGAAAATTATGGCGAGAGAGAAGAACGAATCTTTAACATGATGCTGCAAATTCTCGAGGATTCGATTAAAAATCCTACCAAAAAGCCTCAACCTGACCCTGTCTACGTTACCGAGCGAAAAGAAATTAAAGAGGTGTTGTGCAGATTATTCGGAAAAGAACTGTATATGTGTGAAGATGATAAATGTCGACGCAGAATACCGCAAATTCTTGATAAACTTAAAGTGAAGATTGTTTGGGAAAACAAGAACGGTGGGAAATTTGAATATGAAAGTGATGAAATTAGATACGATCATACAACTGGCTGGTTTGAACAGTATATTTTACCTGAGATAATAAAGAAAATAGTGGGACCTATTTGGGTTAAAACATTGCAAATTTCCCCTACATATAGATTACCTAAGGTCGTATATGTAACAAAGGGCTAAGTTCTCCGTAGAGATTGGTATAGAAAACATTTATAGTGAGGCTGATAATTTTTTGCAAGAGACTACACTTCAAATTATTCTACGAAACTGTTAAAGTCGCTAAAGGTTGGTAATCCTATATACCTTGAGGATCTATTAGGAGAACCTATAATGGGACACTTCGATGCTAAAGAAATGTAGAAAACAACCCATCCGAGAAAGTTTTAAGGCGTAAAGGAGACAAGCTCTACGTTAGATGGATGACATGGACAAATCGCACGATTCTTGGATTAAAAATCTGATTTTGTATATCTATCATGCAACTGTTGGCATGCCTGATGATCCTAAAACTAATATAATGAATGTCTTGGAACGATTAATGTTAGTTTACTGTAGCAATACTGATATCAATTAACATTAGAATAATATGTAACCGAATTGAAGAAATGGTAATATCGGAGATATCAGCGATGAAGAGGAAAGTGTGGAACGGAATAAAAGAAAGAGTAATGTGAAGAAGAAAATCAGAAGGAAGAAAAAAGAGCTGTACAATAGCAAGTTTTGCTTAAAAAGCTCATTCTCAGACTCGTTTGTATGCTTGACGCAATGAAACAAAATAAAATTTATATCTTGCGAGCTTGGTCCTATGCTCACAGAGAAGCAAGAAAGGGTCCGTGGGAAACTATCGCATTAGATAGGTACCGCTTCAAATGTAAAATAGAACGCATTGCAGCTGTTTTGGAGCCCATATTATGTAGTCGTATTAAGATGTATCAATTGCAATATAGTAAAAATGATTGAATTTGGTTGTTTTATTTGGAAAATTACTGAATTACATGAGTATTATAAATATAATAAACGTTAGATAAAGCGCAACAGCAAAGTGAGCGTACATGATAGTAGCAACATGCTTCTAATTTAGGTAAAGCTGGTTCTTCTTCCACCTCGGCGACATTTTGCGATAGAGTTTTTCGAATGAAATCGACTTTTTCTTTTCCTTGAACGTATACTTGGTCTGATGATGATATTAACTGGCGAAGTATAGTTGGAAACATGTAGGATGGCGTATGACCATGCTCCCATTTAATTCCGTGATGGTTATGAATTAACCAGGTAGCTTGCCGTTGTACCTAAGCCACCTGCTTTCCATTATAAATTGCAAGCTCTTTCGGCAAATCCGGAGCGCTTTTACACAAATACCTGATTATGTAAAATCAAAATTATAGTATTATTCAGTATAAAGCGGTCACATCATCCAATGCAATTTTATAGATAACGCGCTTCTTCGGTTCTATTGTTATCAATATGACACCTTTGGCTTAAACGCCTACAAGTTCTAACGGTTTCCTGTTAGTCTTGCACCTATATATCCTCGAGTCTAACTATCATGTCCCGCAAAATTTCTAGAAAGAATTTATGCTTTTCCTATTAAAACAATGCAACTATATAGGTGTCCTTGGGTCGTAATCTTAAGCTAATTATTTCATCAGCTACGCTTTACGAAATTATCAATGGCGGCAGCTCGTGAGTAAATAATAGAATATAGGTATCGTTAAACTTTAGTTATAGCAAAATTTAAAATCTACTCATCTCTAGGGCATAACGATAGTCGATGTAGTGAAACAGCCGGCTTTTGAATAGGTTGAGGTAATACTCAAAAGGTATATGGAATTGGTCAATGAAACGAAAAGTATGTATTCAAGTTTATCGCATCACCTTCAAAGTAGACCTCCTTCTACAATAATACACTACCTACGAGCATACGTACGCATTTTCAAAACTAATAGGGTGCTTTGATCGATAATAATATAAATCTATCACCGGCCTGTACCAACTGTTTTACCTATATAATATCAGGTATGGCGATATTGAATATGATGAGTGAAGGATATAAATTTTTATTGAATGTTTATCTGCATACCCCCTTTGTATCAAGCTTCCTATGACCTCGTTTGTCACATAGCTATGCAATCTGTGCAGGTTTCCTGTCTAAATGGATAGCAATAAATAAAACTCCTCCTAGAAATCGTTTGATAGGCATTTGTTACGAGGATGGCGGGTAAGAATGAGCTCTTTTCTATTTTTCATCAAACTTAATGTATGTAATTTTTCAGCTCAAGGTGCGGCCATCGTCTTCGGAGGCGTGCAAACGGCCTATGGTAAATACACCGCATATCTATCACACGTTTAACCATATATTTGTAGAACGAGAACTCCGAACACATCTAATAGAAAAATATGGATCTGTAAGTACTTTTCATGCATCATACCGTATTTTAATTAGCTCTTATTTAGGAACATGTTGCGATTTTACGGGGTCGGGGAACAATCCCCGGCTCCGTAAAGATTGAGGAAGATGACTTCCAGGGAACGAGGTTCCAGGTCTTTAAAGACCTGGAACTCAAACACACCTATTGGGTGTTCTATGTAAGTGTTATCATTTCAATTATAATGTATACTTCAATGAATATTTTTTTTCCAGAATTAATAAACCTGTTAAATTTTGTTCTGTTTTTCTTATCCGCCCCACTGCATAGATTATGATTGTATCCGTGTTCTAAGCTCTTACCTAAAATAATAAGATGCAGTGGTTAGGTATTTATCCATAATGCTATACGGTGTTATCCTTTCTCTCGTAAAAAGTCTTAAGGCGCCAGAAGCATCTCTATCCTAGTTTGGAATTAAGAAGCTTGCCTTATCACAGATATTATCAGCACATAAACTTAGTTCCCAAGAAAAATTGCGAAAACTTGTTAAACTTTAAACAGCAGCGAAATCTATAGCATTACATTAACTCGAGCTATAAAAAATTTATATCCTATAACTTTGATTGCTAGAATTAATAACACATCTGTTTTAAATCGTACGCTTACACGTATTATGAAGGTACTGCTCAAAGTGTATCAATTTGATTTAAGAAGCGTGTCGTATCATAGATATTAACAGTACATAAAGTTAGCTTCCTTTCTCCCGTAAACAAGTCTTGAGGCACCTCCTCCCACCCAACGTCCATCTCTATCCTGTTCGGGATTAAGAAGCCTGCCTTAGCACGGGTATTATCACCATATAAACTTAAATCCAAGAAAAATTAACAAAATTTGTGAGAGTTTATATAACAGCACTATTCTAACTAGAGTAATAAAAATTTATATCCTAGCACTTTGATTGCAGGAATTAATAACACATCTGTTTTAAATCGTATGCTTACACGTATTATGAAGGTGCTGCCCCAAGTGTATCAATTTGATTTAAGAAGCTTGCCTTATCACAGGTATTATCGGCACATAAACTTTGATTCAAGAAAAATATTGATTTAGCCCCATACGAAACTTTTCTTAATAGCTGTAATTGATATGAAGGTTATATGATAAGCCTTTTCTTAATATAGATATAGCTAAAGTTGGTGTAATACATAATATTCACAATGTTATCTTATTTATCGCAACGGCATTATCCTCTACCTACTTCCCATCAATAAATCTAAGATATTATATAGGTATTATAATAATAAAGCTACGGCGCTTGCGACCGTTTAACCATGATGATGATGAAGGCAATCCTCCATTGAGGTTTGATATCGGCTAAAAAAGATATCAATGTAGGCTTTTTATTACAAAATAATTTTGATACTTACGGTCCAACTCTGATGTAGACTATGTTTTCTGCTGTCAGCTTATTACTTATAAACGCCCATATAAAATAATCGCTGAATAAATACAATAAAATGTCACGCTTTTCATTAAACTGCAAATTATGCGCGCATGGACACGTATCCCTAAGAAAAGTAAATTATAAGCAACCAAAAATTGAAAAAGGGCTTACCTGATGTATATAAGCAGCCACCTGTCTATATATCCACATACACACTTATTGAAATCGGATTGCGGATGCACGAATTTTCGCACTTTACGCATTCATACACAATAAACCCGTATATAGGTGTCGATATGGAAATGAAATGGGATAAAGTACCATATCAAATTCGCGAGCACGCGCTGCTATAAATAAACACTATCGCAAGATTGAAACTTCCCATACCAATTATTAGAATAATGACATCTGCGAACTCTGTTCTCTTTGAGGATAGCTTCTACGTCTTACTATAAAAAACCAGGGGGCTGCCTTAGACCCTAAGAGCTACTATATAAAACTAGGGGTAGTTCCTTGGGGATAGGATTAGGGGTTAGCTCCCCCACCCTACGAAATAGCTCACATCGGTATCTACAGCTCCTGACGTTGATGCTATAATTAAATACTATCGAATTATTGCGAGATTGCAGCATCCTCTCCCATAACCGCGGTTATTTTTTTCTCTAACTGATAACACATTTACATTCGTGCTTATTTAGCTGCAAATGTCGAGTGAGTAACATCTTCATATTGCTTTCACAACTTAATAGTTATTATTTTAGATCAAGAAATGTGCAATCATTTTTGCGAGGAGTCGAGGTAAACCTGCATGTATATTACTATACGTTTTAACCGTATATTTGTAGAACAAGAAACTACTATTATTTTCGGCGGGATAAACCCAGCGAGGTATAAAACCCCCCCCCATGTATTACGTTTTAATTATATACCTATGTGTAGAACGGAGCGGGGATTTCCAATTATGAATAACAATGTCGGCATCCAAAAAAAAATAGGGGCGTTGCCGTCGTCGGTCCTCTTCGACGCAAATTTTATGTAAGTAGAGTAAGCGCTTTAATTGTAATAATAAACTTCAAATCGCTATTTCAGCTCTAAATAAAAACGCCCTACATTTTGTTTTTGTTGTTTTATTTCCCTACCCGCCCCTGTTCTGGTTGTAGGTTAGAATGGGGCCCCCTTGTGTATGTCTCTCAAATGGGGGAGCTACCTCCGAGATGGAATGATAGGTTAGAATTCTCCTCCCTTGCATCTCTCTCCTGAACCCTCGTATCTAACCGTTTGATGTCTCATCAATGCCGGGGCGCCGGTTGAAATTATACTTTCCTATACCTATACGAATCCTAATAGATGGCGACTCCGTTCCGTTAAAATAGGTTAGAATGAGGGACCTCGCACTTGACGACTGAAATTACAATTTCCTACCTCTATATGCATTACGACGCCAATAGATGGCGCCTCCGTACCCTTAAAATAGGTTCGTTATAAATACAACTATCCAAGCATTATATCATACAAGTCTAGTTAGCCTAGTGGTTATGCTATAGGACTTGTAATCCGATGGTTGGCGGTTCGAATCCGTTCCATTTAAAAAAAAATTTCAGGAGGTTCGATATAAATACAACTATCCAAACATTATACCATAATAGTCTAATTAGCTCAGTGGTTATGCTATAGGACTTGTAATCCAATGGTTGGCGGTTCGAATCCGTTCCATTTAAAAAAAAAATTTCAGGGTACGAAGGGGTCGAAGTTGAGGATTCTAAGATGGCGCGTCCAAGAACTTGAGGATACCAAGATGGCGTCCAAGAACTTGAGGATTCCAAGAACTTGAGGATACCAAGAACTTGAGGATACCAAGAACTTGAGGATTCCAAGAACTTGAGGATTCCAAGATGGCGTCCAAGAACTTGAGGATTCCAATAACTTAAGGATTCCAAGAACTTGAGGATACCAAGAACTTGAGGATTCCAAGAACTTGAGGATTCCAAGATGGCGTCCAAATGACGCCTGCGCAAAGATGGTGTCCAAATGACGCCTGCGCAAAGATGGTGTCCAAATGACGCCTGCGCAAAGGGGCGGAGCGCGCATGCGCACTGACCAGAAGTGCTCAAAAAAAGCCCAAACGAACCTTAGAATTCCTTATGGGAAATTACATGTAATTTGGCCGGAAGTTGCGCTAGAACCCGTGCAGCCCTACTATTGATGATATCTGGAGACGTGACCGGATAAACGTAAAAGCGTTAAGAGTGATCTAATACTTTTATGGCGAGATTACCTAAACTCTCGTCGAAGCATCAACAAAAATTACCGTGCGTAATATACTAAATTTTCGGAAATTAAGCGGATTTTCGGTGGCTAGTGGCTAAATTGCGTTCGAAATTGGTTTTACGTTACCGACGGTTAACGTCTATTTGTATTTTACATCAAAACAAGAATGCTTAAGACTCTTCATGCTTACAACCGTCTGGAAACGTGATCGTGTACTATGTAAGCAAATGTACGAGTAGTAAAAGGTAATAAGATAGGTAGCATAGAATCCTGATTTATTTATTTTATTTTATGCAGGTTTTATTTCCCCACGCAAGCGGCGGTTGCATACGGAAAAATGAAATAGTGGAACTTGCATCTATATGTGAGTACTAAATTATTATAAAAGGTAAGTTTGCTACTTTGGGTGTATGGCGGGTATGTTCGCCTAGAGTGATATGTTCAACGCCTAAACATCCGAGTTTTATTACACATGACAATAAAAGCGTTTCTATGTGCGGGTTTTTTGCAAAAAAAATTTACATACTAAGAGCTTTATTACAGTAAACGAATCGATACTTTTTGTTCGCTTGAGGTGGTTTGCTTTAATAAAAGGATCCAATATAAACAATTAAGAAAATACAAACAGCGTAACGCCCGAGGGTTTGTACAAGATACATAGGTATATTAAAGTTGTAGTAACGTTTTTCTAACTTCATTCCTTAATTGCTACAGTATATTCCAAAGAACGGCATTTTCCGCTACCTAGAGTTTAATATAGCAATCTGCGTCATAATTTGGCAAAGATTGGAGTTACCGGTACACTTTGACAGCGACGTTTTCTTAAAAAATTCATTGAATTTTACCGGGAATCTTCACACGTCGACCTGGCATAAAGGGACTTGAGCAGTACCTCCTCAAGAAACATAAATTTTCTCCGTTTTGATCACAATATAATAATTTCTACCGTTCCGAAGGTAAGCTTTTGTCTACTTTCTGTTCCATTAATTATCAGGGCATCCCCCTTCGTTTTCCTGCATTTGCTTTCTCGTAGACACCGCTAATTAATTTGTATTTTGCTGCTAGGGAAATTACTGTAATTTTGTTTTAGTACCCCCGAAGTGACGGCCGGCATATGCTAAACTCGTTCGATTCCTGGAGCTGCCGTTTACTCTGATGTAAACCCGAGGCCGTTCCGCAAACCGCTACTACCGCCGACCTTCACCAGGGGCAAGGCTGTATCCCTTGGTGGCACTCTAGTCCGTCCGCCCATTCCGCCGACGTTATATCTAGGTTGGTGCCTACTGTCGTCCGCTGACGTGATTTATTTATAATAATTTGTAAATATGTATTTTTTTATGTTTTATGAATTGTTCCATTATTAGTCCTTGATCTTATGGATGTGACGTTTGATGGCGAACTAAAGATTTAATACTTTCTATGGCGATCGATTTCGGGTTTTGATCCCATCATCGAGACAATTATAAAATTTGAAAATGAAAGATAAATAACATGTTGGTCTAAGTTAAAATGGGTAATAGTATAGCCAATTTTCACACGTGGAATCTGTGTAGATTTTTTAATAAAGTTAAAACGTAGCAAAAAATGTTTTGTCCGAAAAAAATAAGTATACAATATGTTATGTACCCTTAAAATGTACAGTGCGTTCCACAAACTCAAAAATCAAGGAAAAATTTGCGTGATGCGATGGGTTAAATAAAATGCTATCCCGGCAGTAATAGTTACCTTGTCTACTGTCGTGTGGCACATCGAGAAAGGATTGACTGGTGTCTTACAAGTAGGTACTGAAGCGATTGTAGTATTTCAGTGTATTGCTACTTAATTTAAGTTAATTTTCGAAAACAGCGAGATTTATATGCAATAAAACGTATATTTTGTTGCATACAAATCAGGATGTATTCTTATACTTGTTACGTTTTACGGTTTTCCCAATTTATACGAAATAGAATGTCATTGAAAGATAAGGGACTTGCTTGCTAAATGCCGTATTGACAAGACCAGCGCCCAGCGCAGATTTGCAATTAAATTAATTTTTATCAAGAATAAGAGAATTTGATTCGCTAAGGCCGTTAGCCGGCGAATGTAGTGCAAAGCCTCTTCTTCTGAAGGGTAAGTCAAACCAAATAAATAATTCACTAGGTAATTCTGGATTTTGTTATTAGGGCATCTAGAAAGCGACTGGGTTTTAAACTTATTTACCGCTACACCAAATATACACTCACGATATAGCCGTAGCTACCTAAGAAAAGTAATTACCCTTAAAGAACCAGCTTTAAGCTTGTCATGGGTGAGTCGGGCAATTGATTACTGCGTACATAACCAAGAGAACATCTACCTACTTCCACTTCTGCAAGTCATTTATGGGTCAGATAATCCAGGTTTTACAATATCCAATTTTTTTATTAAACTTTGTACTTTAATGCAGAGTCTGGAAGCATGCTTTTGGCCCGTATTAATCATTTGAAAATTAATTATTGTCATTTATGATACTTAACAATTTTGGATTTATTAAAGACCAACTCCCTCAGTTTTTTTTTTATTTGAACGCACGACCATTTCTCACCGAGAATTTATTTTAATGAGCACGCTGGAAGTGATTACCCAGGAGTGGGTACACGATCCTGTTGGATAGATAGTGATTAATTCGTAATTAAGCAATACTAATCTTTATCTTCATATGAATCCAATCGAAATCACGAACTTGTAGTCGTTCTAGTTTTAGATGCCCTATTTTTGGTAATATGTATGATGGTTGACTCCGTGTTTGAAATGTAAACCAGTTTTTCTAAGGAAAACAATATCGACGTCGACAGTTTCGAAGCTTCTTTTAGTGCATATAGTTCATGACTAAACTAAATAAACAGAATTTGGTTGTGTAACAAAAGCACTAACAGAAAAAAAATTACGTTCGAGCATGGCCAATCGTTTAACATGGGGTCGAAAGGAATGGTAGTTTTTAACTTGCAAAAAAGCGTTCGAGTGGG